TTCCTGATGAACAATTAGTTTTGAATTTTCCTGAAATATTAATACTAAAAAACATTTAAGATAAATAAACCTAACTTGCATGAAAGGCCGGGCATCACATACCATTAGTCAGCTGTTTTTGTCTGGTGTATCCCTGCTACAGCACGTGTCAGGAGGAAGAAAACAAAGGAGATAGCAAAGAATGAACAGAAATGGTGAAAGAAAAATGAAAGAGAAAAAGGTTAGAGGCAGGCCCACAGCATGCACGCAGACACGTACCCCTCCCTCCTGCCTGGTGAAGCTGGCTGCAGCGTTCCACACTCACCGTCCATGACTTTTGTTTCTGTCTCATGCACAGCCAGGTTCCTATTCACGACTAACCAATAGCTTGGGATTGAGAAGTTCAATATATTCTTACTTTTGTAGAACGATGTTTCTGCCTCTTTTCTTTTTCCCTACAAGCCTACTGACTTTTGCTTCTCATTCACTGCAATATACGTTGTTCTCCAGAATGTTCCATCCCTTCCAGGGTCTGTGATAATGGAATCATAAATTCACAAAACTCCTGTCACTTCCACCTCACTAACTAGTTATTCCTTGCTGGTCAGTTAAAACCAGACAGACCCTCTCATATCTTCTCCAGTCTTTTGAAAGATGATATTGTCAGCAAGTCAGGAATTGCTCACATGCTCTGCTTTACAAGAAAAAGGCTTCCAACACTTGTCTAGTTCTGCTCTCTCTTGCCTCTGTGCCACTTCTAAAATCTGAAGTGGGAAATGTTCGTTTAGTGCTTTATAGTTTACAAGTTATCTCGAATAATTTGATATTCATGGCAACTCTGAGAAATACTTTTATTATCCCCATCTTACAGATGAAAAAACTGAGGCTCAGGAAGTGACCTGAATATGTTACACAAATAAATCAAAGTAGAGCAACAACTTAAAAGTTTCTTGCTTCTAAGTCCCTTGCTCATTTCACTGCTCCTCACCTGCCCACGCAGCCTGTAGAATATTACCAAACTACATCACTGCAGTCTCACAATCCTCAACAAAATCACACACAGTTCATTTAAAGCTGTCCCACACAGCACTGGCTATGCTCCCTTTGAGTGCCATCATCTGTTCTCTAACCACGAGGGCCAACTCAGCAAACTGCTTGGGACACCTGCTCTCAGCCAATGTCTCCTGTGAAGTCCCGAGTTGTTCTCAAGGCATCTACTCAGGTGTGTCCTCTTTCTGCCATTTAATTTTGTGCCCTAGCAGTCAGGCTTAATCCTCATATTGTCATTGACAAAAATTGCATGATAGTGCTGGAGTTCCCATATAGAAACAAAGGAAAATATCATATTAAAGGTTTAGAAAGGTAAGTTTTACAGTGGCCCAAACACCTTGAAGGAAATGGTCAAGGAAAAAGGAATATCAGATAATTAGGGGCTAGTGGAAGTTATTTGACATGAAGAGCATCATAATCAGAGCCTGAGAGTACTGACTAGTAGTGTATGACTTCAACGGATTTAAAATAACATTCCATGAAGACTGTGCTAGAATGACTAACTAGCATTGGTTCAGTGAGTTCTCCTACTTCCAGGAAAGCATCTGCCAGCATCCATTTCCAAATGCCCAATAAGGTATAGGTGATCCTCTAGTGTATTTTTACTCTCAGGTTTGTGAATCCCTATAGAGCGTTAATCTCCCACTCCTGTACTAGGTCAAATCCTTCTGAATAAAGCCTACTGTCTCATTTCCACAGTCCAGGTTTGAATCCTCCTCCTAAGTTTGGTATTTTAATAGGGGATAATTTTTGACAATGTTCTCTATTTACTCTCTTGGTCTGTATATACTTTCTATCTTCTGCAACCAATTTATTAAAATTATATTTTCTAAAAACTGTCCCAAAAAAAGGACTACTACTTACCCATTTGTTGAGGAATGAAATATAAATTACTCAGCACAGGGGCCGGCCTGGTGGTGCAAGGGGTTAAGTCTGCGTGCTCTGCTGCGGCAGCCCGGGGTTCGCCGGTTCAGATCCCGGGCGTGCACCAATGCACCGCTTGTTAAGCCATGCTGTGGTGGCGTCCCATATAAAGAAGAGGAAGATGGGCACAGATGTTAGCCCAGGCCCAGTCTTCCTCAGCAAAAAAGAGGAGGATTGGCATTGGATGTTAGCTCAGGGCTGGTCTTTCTCACACACACACACACACAAAATACTCAGCACAACACCCAACACATCTTAATACTCCATATTTGCTTTAATAATCTCAAGTACAACAGTGCATCCTTCAATTGATACCATTAGAAATACCTCTCAGATGCTCAAAGATGCCAGTAGCCTCAACCGTCTATTATTTGCAACTAGCACAATGCCTGTTACTAAGTAGGTGATCGATGCTGAATGAATACTACACCCCAGCAAGGAAGGATGCAAATCCATAAAAAACACAATTACTATCATATTTCTTTGGCCCTCTTCGCCACCTTGACACAGGCATCATAGTTTCAGAATCTTTTAAGAATGGGAGAAGCTAGGGAAAATTAAGAAAGTTATAATTTTAAAAGTTCATCTGTATAAACGGGTAAATATGCAAAGGCTCAAATGTTCTCTATTTTACAATTCAAGTCCATTTCTATTTATTTATTTTTTTCCCCCAAAGCCCCAGTGGATAGTTGTGTGTCATAGCTGCACATCCTTCTAGTTGCTGTACATGGGACGCAGCCTCAGCATGGCCAGAGAAGCGGCGCGTCGGTGTGCGCCCGGGATCGGAACCCAGGCCACCAGCAGCGGAGCGCGCGCACTTAACCCCTAAGCCACGGGGCCGGCCCTCAAGTCCATTTCTAAACTTGAGTTTTCCCAGTAGTTTGAAAATCACTTTGAAAATGTCCTTCTCATTTACAGTATCACATTTCACATCCCAGCTCTTACACATATGTATATACATCTGCATGAGTGTGTGCATAATGTTTTACTATAAATGTCCTTTTGAAGGGCATTTGAAAATGACAAAAGAACTGAGACCCAAAATTTACCTTTAATTCACTTAAAATTTTCTGCTCCATTGATTTTTTATCCATCAAATGGATATAATTTATCCTGATACCTTATCAGGTTCACCAAAGGAGAGAGGAAAAACACACACACACACAAAAGCCAGCACTCTGAAAAAAATTTAAAATTCCATCCAAACGTATAATCAGAAAAACCTTCATACTCCTTTTGTGCACGATAATTTGTCAAGTAAGACTCAATGACAACACATTAATTCAAGTGACTTCAATCTGATTTTTCCTTGTGATCTTCAGAAGGTGGGAGAAGTATCACATAGACTATCTCCCCACCCCTCTCCCTACCATTCCTTTTTTTTTTTTTTTTTTTTGAGGAAGACTGGCTCTGAGCTAACATCCGTGCTCATCTTCCTCTACTTTATATGGGACGCCGCCATAGCATGGCTTGACAAGCAGCATGTTGGTGCGCACCCGGGATCTGAACCTGCGAACCCCGGGCCACCGCGGCAGAGCACGTGCACTTAACCTCTGCGCCACTGCACCACCGGGCCGGCCCCTTCCCTACCATTCCTAATCAATCAAGGAAAACTGGGATCTAGGAAACAGATTAATAGACTATCAGTGGTATTATTATGTATAATTGGTTAAAGTACCATGCTAAAAAAGCCAGGGCCCTAGGATCAATCTCTAAAAAGGCCAATTAGTTTATATTTATGCCAAGGACCCAGACTGCACTCCTAACTGCAAACAGTTTTCTGGCAGTGGCTCCCACTGGTCACAAGATAGGGGACTGGCAAGGTGGTAAATGGATAAAAAGAAACTATCTTCACTAAGAGGAAAAAAAAAAAAATCCCACGTATGATGATGGACTAAATAGAATCTGATCTGTAAAGAAAAAATATCACATATATTCTTAGCTCTGTTAAACATATTTCAAGTCTTAAAGTATTGGACCACAGTAACATTTGACTCCTGAACCTTAGAACTGCCTGTTAAATAACATTCTTCACAAAGCTACAGTAATGGCCCTGCTAATTGTTACCCAATTTGTGTGACAAATTGTCAATTCCATACAGACATCCTTTTCTGTTTTTAATATTAATCTACATACCACAGTTTTTAAATATTTACCGTTATTTGGTTCAGAATATTGTGAAAAACTCAGCTAGGAAATTATTCATAAAACTGTATTCTGTATTTTTTTTTATTTTTCAAATAGCCAGTGTCCACATTTAAAATGCAGAATTTGCAAATATAAATTAGTCTAATAATTCAATTAAAAATAAAACAAAACAACTTCTTTTAGTATCACAATACATAAAATGGTATTATAAATTCCAAATGGCAAGGTTAACTACATGACAATAATGCCAGAAGCTGTGAAATTCATTAAACCTCTTAGTGAGCAGGTCAGTTTAAAGAACATTTCTGTGTTCCATGATTACGCATGAAACAAGCTTTCACAAGGCCCAGCAATTCATTCATGGCATAATATGGGGTCAAGCAAGATTTTACTCTTACAATGACAATAAAAAACGCATTTAAACAAAAAAAATCCTCCCAATTGTTTAAAAACAATTCTACTTGGAGGGTAAAATATATTCTAAAATATATTGACTTACCGAATTTCAATTGTCAGGCTGCTGACTACTGATGTAAAAGTTTGTATTTAAAAATATCACAAATATCTTTTTATTTAACAGTGAAAATTTCAATGTGATAAGTTTCATTGCAAAGCAATTTTCACCTGAGTAGATTCTGAAATTTAGTACTCATACATTTGAGGGGAGATGAGGAAGGAAATACCCACTTGTATCAGATACTGAGTTTGTAGTTGATTCTTTCACATTGATTTCCCAGAGTGTTGAAGAAACATTTGCTGTGACCTTCCCAGGATACATGATGTCCCCTTTTCTCCTTGAAATTTGTCCTGGCATTTTATGAATTCTCAGTATCCATATTTCTTAGTTACCCATTCAAACATAGCAACCCAATTTATTCAGCTCTATACAACAATGTCTATATTATGTACATGTTTAATCATCAATAGGAAATAGAAAATAAAAATTTACAGTGATTGAGAAAGGGTCATAAAGTGAGATAGGAAAAGTAATACTGTATAATCAGAATATCCTATTATCCTACCAGTTTCAATGACAGAGTTTTTCCTTTATTAGTTGAAATACAAAGAAGGCATTGGGGATCCCAGGAAAATAACACTATGTATCAGAAAATTCAACGTGCTCCACCATCAGGATTTCCATCACACATTTAATTTCTTCTGTACAATTGTTATAAACTTGTTTTTCTTGTCAAAATCATCAGATTTCCAGATTAAATTCAGCACTACACAGTATGCCCTTGAAGTAAAATGAGGTTACCTGCTTTATTTGGATACCAAGTTCCCTTCCAGACAGCATTAAAATAAAGACAAGTAAGACTACACAGATAAAATCCAGTATAATTCAAATCCAACAATGAAAAATTTCCCCCATATTGTTGCAAAATTCTTTCTACTGAAATGCTTTGCTACAATAATAAAAAGCATACATTACATATAAAAGATACCAGTGTACTAAAAAGTGACAGAAGTGGACTAGCAAATCCTTCAAAGCACATTATATAAATGACTAGCATTTAAAAACATTTCTCCTATAAAATGTAGGTCATATACATTTATAAATTGGCGGTTTTATTTCTAAAGCTGTGTTTTCAAATAGTTAGCTGTTCTGTATAGTATAATATCTACTCAATTCCAACTACAATAGGTTTGTCTTTCTTTGTATTGAAGTTGAATAAATTCATCTGATCAGCTGAGAAATCAAGCTTGAAAAATAAGTATCTAAAAATCAAAGTAGAAAGTTTAGAATTATTGAAATGTAGCTATGAAATACGAAGAGAACTATCTACTTCACAATGGAGCTGAAGTCACCTCAAAACTTATGGGCTTGACTCTAAAATAGAAACAAATATTAAAATCCAAAGCAAACCACAAAGTTAGGTAGCAGTACAGAAGCAGGAAAAACCACACCCCCTTCCTTCAGTGTGATGGGCACTAAGTTTTTCGGTCTTCCTCCATCTTGCAGAAGAGTGGTAAGGCCATTCAATGCTTAGTGAAAGTGAGTACAGATGAAGTCAGATTTAGCCTGTCTCCCCTGCAACTTCAATTATGCTGTGTAAACAGTGTTATGTTCCAATAGGAGGAACAATGGAATTTGCTTATAAAAACTGATTAAAGATAATCATTATTAAATGAAATAAGGATAATTAATAACTCTGAAATGTTTTTAGAACTTTCCTGATGCTACTTGTAAAGTTAGCACTGCTATGTATTATTGCTTACATACAGTACAACATCATATGCCTTCTAACATAAAGCAGTACTGTGATTTGTTTGTACATATTTACAGATTCTTAAAAACAAGCTGTAAAAACATTACATACTTTCAGACAATACAAATTAGCACATTGGTACTCACTTCAAAACAAATGGAATGCATAACATTAATAAACATCATAAAGGAAGACTCACATAAAAGTCCTTGATTGTCAAGACACGTTTATATATAAACTCTTAACTGTGCAGAATTAAAGATTCAATCATAGGTACATCCTTATTTGATGAACCATATTTACAGCATGGTATTGCATAAAAAAATAAAATAATGTTTACAGGGTTTTACTTTTTTATCCATTGGATTAAAGAAAGCAACAAACACAACAAGAAATGTTTGTCTGCTTTAGTTTGTTTCCTACTAAAGTTTAGGTGAAAAAAGGAAACATACGGTTTTTATTTGCAGAATATAGCAAAAACAACTGGAAATTTATTTCCCTGAAATAAAGTAATTTGAAACGGAAAAGTTTAAATTAAATTGCAAAGTCAAAAAGTTTCTCATTGATTATAATAGTGCTTCTTCAAGTAAATATACTGTGAAAAAACAAGTTCTACTTTAAAATGTTCTAAGTCTAAGAAATGTAGTACTACAGTAATGCCTACTTTTAAAGTTTCCCGGCTTTTTTTTTTTTTTTTAAACAGCCCTTTAAAAACCCAAATTAATAAAATGAAAGAAGTGGCAAAAGATCTAAGCTAGCTGGCACTTTGCAAGTTTCTCTCCTCTGTGGAAATGAAAGCCTACCCTGAGCACAAGGCCTCTTTGCCTCTCAAAGAGAAAATTACCCGACCACTGACAGTTCTCAGCCAGAGCTAAAAGGATGGATCTCTATGGTATCGGGTAGAAAATTTGCAAGTAGATCCAAAAACTTTAAGAGCCACTCAAATATTCTGAACCAAATGAAATGTGTGTGCAATAAGAAGTTTAAAAAAAACCAAAACGTTTTTAGAAGATGTTCCAGAGATGTTACCTCATCTAACGTGATCTGTTTCCCATTCTCAAACACAAGAGCAGGTCCTCACTCACGTTGCCCACAAGTGTAAGGGTGTAAGAGCATGTTTGAATAGAACAACTTGCTAACAGAGAAATGAGAAACACAAATTGCAAAAGGATATCTCATATCCTTAATATTCTGATCTAAAGCAGCACAAAATGCTACTTGCTTTCTCTATTAATGCCCAGGTACAAATTAAGTCACTTTCTGAACCAAAGTGGGGAAACCCAAACTGGTGAGATGTTTATCACATGATGATAATACAAGGTAACTCTGGTAGGCATTTAGAATTTCACAGTAAGAGAGCAATGACTATACTTAAATGCTAAGTCAATAAGTTATGCCCAAGTATCACTTATCACAAAAATGCTCATAATGTGGTAAAAAGTCTGCCATTATGTAGATTCAAAGAAATGTGCTGAAGACACGAATACAACACCTGAAATCCTGCGTGCATCACTACCATTTTCAAGTCTTCCTTCCTTAGCTTACCCTAACTGCTCAGAAGTAGAGTCACATTCTAAAAACTGTGCTGGTGATGTTCAAACACACACACAAATCTTGATACTGTACCAAGAACTGCATCAAATTCTCAACAGAACAAAATTTTTGATCAGGCTCAAAAAAAAAAAAAAAATCAACTCAGGACATAAATGCCTACTATCATCAAATAGTAGTGTTAGAAAAAAACAAATGCCTATCTAGAGTGAGCACAGTTCCATTGTTAACATCTCACCTGAATGAAGCCTTCTGGCAATTTTGATGTGCAACACAACACACACCACTCTTAAGAGTCAATAATGGCAGAACTTAATATCTACTTCAAAGAAGTCTAAAATTCTTGACAAATTTGGCAGCAAAGAAAGCTGTCAAATGGGAAAATTAATATTTCAAGCAAAGCTTAATAACCAAAGTGTAGAGGAAACCACATTAAACATAATTTATATTCCTTATCATAAAAACACCAATATATTCAAAATAAATGTAAAAGATGTTAAGGGTAGATATTTCTTTGTTCCCTTTCTTTATGAGAACAGTCTTGGGATAACATTAAATAAAAGAAAAAAAATAATTTAAATGTATAACATTCTATACTGAAACAAAGACTGCAGATCTATAGGGCCAATATAAAAGTTAAAATGGAAATTAATAATAACAAAGTTTCATTTTCCAAGGGTACTAATTTTAGAATATCACTGGTGCCATATCAGTATGTGCATTGTGACAAAGATGGCAGAAATTTAAAATAAAAAAACTAAAAAGTCGGAAAAAATTAAAGAGGATAATAAAATCAATATAACTAATGTTATTTTCAAAAAAAATTAAAACTGTCCGACATGTAACTCAAACCATCATTCTTTAGAAAAGCATATATATGTACATATATATAAGCACTATTTATTGTACCATGCTGTATTATTTTAAGACAAAGTATTAAAAAAAAAAACATTCGTGGTATAAGGATAAAGTCTGTAGTTTATTTAGATTTTGAAATGCAACAAAAAGTTTCCGATCACTCATCTAGCTGAAAAAGAAACTGTAGTTACTAGAATTAGTAAACACTTTTGGTTTGTAAAATTGTAATGAGCAGTGTTCATTAAAAAGTAACTCAAGATAAAATAAGCAATTAAAATGCCCATTTCTTTAGTTTCTCTGGATACTGTTTAATTATCCAATCTATCAAGATTCTAGAAAGAGAAGGATTAAACCAAGTTTTACAGTTCCAAAGATATCCAATTTCCTTTTATTGCCAAAAATTAAAATTGTCAATTATGAGATGATTATGACACAACCATACCAAACCTAAAAATCTAAATTTTTTTTTACTTTGAGAAATCAAAAATACCAAATAGATTCTAAGTGCTCTATGTTAACTGAAGTGTATATGTAAAGTAAAATACAATTAAGCTTTAAAACGTGGAATATACATTTTGTGTAAGCATTATGTTCTTGGGAATGTAATCTACAGAATATCTTTTTACTAAAACTTCAAAACCTTGATACTTGCACATGAAAAATCATAAAAAATATCTAGGTACAACTGTACAAAGAAACTGACACCAATATGCATACTTCCATAGAGAAGTGAATGCTTCAACAGTTATGTATTTTGGTAAAAGTTTTGAAAGTATGCATATTTTAAAAGTAATTAGGCTTTTAAATAGTGGAGTCTTAGACTATCAGATTTTTATTACTTTTTTTCTCCAAAAAAAAAGTCAATATAATGCAAAATGAAAATCAAGGGTATATGGCATTATCATTCTTTTTAAAAGGTGGTATCTTGGTTTCTTTTTATCCCCCTATAGGACACATTAATTTATTTAAGCCATAATCTCTTAACATTTAAACTTTTAAGTTCACTCTGTCTGTAAATTATACTCAGATTCCCTGCTGAAGTGCAATGACTATGCTTAGAAACAGTATGAGTAAATTTCACACAATTACTACCCTCCTAAGAATGTACAATGTTATCAGTTAGGAAACAATTGTGCGAAAGTCTTTTTTTTTCCTTTTAAACTTGGTGTAGGTGGAATAGCAAGTTTCTGATCTAAAACAAGTAATGCGTTGCTTCTATAAAGGTGACAACATGTAAGGCAGTTCAAAGAATGCTGACTAACCAAACAAAATGCAGTTATTGGATTATCTTGCTATTCATATCAGCTTAACCTGTTATAACGCATTGCTCTTAAATCTGTACAGCACTCCATTTTATGCAGAGTAACCCCACTCTTGATTAATCTGTTCTAAAGTGCCAGTATTATTTACACATTTTTTTTAGCCAAAAGTCTGGCCAGTTGTGGCATCAGGTGAAGATGTCATCCCAGCTCTACTATCATTTACATTCACCAAGGGAAATTCTGGAAATTCAGCACTTGTCCCTGGTCCCCGAAGGTTCACCTGTCCATTGGCAGTGCTAAATTGAGTAGCTATTCCAGCTCTCGATCCATGATATGGAGCACGGAAGGGCTGTTCAAAGGAGCTCATTTGGTAAGCTTGGTGGACAGGCTGGGCCTCAGCTTTCTTCTGAGAAGTCACTTGATCCAAGAAGTCCTGTGTTGATGTGGCAGAAGCATGGTTTGTCTCATCACCTGAAAAGGGAAACGAGTGCTGTGAATCACCAACTATTAGTCCAAAGTGGGACTTATCTGGAGTTGTTCTTAGTGGAGAATTCATTCCTGATCGAAAGCTATTGATGGGCATCGCTGCATAGACTTGCTTGTCTATGGAAGAGAATGCTGGCTGATTCGGAAGGGTCTGGTTATCAGTCACAAAGTTAAGGCTCGGGCTATTCAAATAGGCATCATTTTGGCTAGTTCTGTCCAAAGCCTGCTGCAGAAACTTTGAGTATTCCTGCAACATGTTGGCTTTATCTGATGAGGATGCTTGGGAGCTTGATCCAACATTCTCTGACTGGGTGACCTCAGGTACTTCTGAAGAATTTATTGATATGCTAGAAGTCACCTCAGTGTCCGCAACACTGAATGATATCTCATGCTGTCCATTAGCTTTATGGGAATAATGATCCAACAGAGTCTGCAGGACCTCATCTGGAATAACATTTTTGTCATGATTACTCTTTATCTCCACATTCAGTGCCTGTGAATCTAATATGGATGCTGTGGTACTTTCATCAATGACACTTGCCACAGCTGCCTGTGTTACAGAAGGCTGAGACGCGATGGTACCCACATTCAGCGCATACTCCCTACTGTTGTTACTTGCTGCTTGAAGATATCTCTTCTTCTTCAAAAACTGCATAGCATCATCATAATTAGTACTGCTATGCACAGGTTTACTGGGCCCCTCTTGCAAATTATCAACCTGATCAATGTCAGCATTGCCTTCTGAGTCCAGTAAAGCTTGTTTATCCACAAGTTCAAAAGCATATTTTGAAACTTTGCTCTCTTCATATGTGGATAAAGGCGAAATTGTTTGATTTGGCTCCAATGGCTGTTTCAGACTTCTCTTACTATTAATTTTTTTGAGAACCAACTTAGGTGGATGTATTTCTCCTGATGCATCTTCTAAGTGCGATCCCCCAACAGAAGAATGTGGCATTTCAACGGCATACTCTGCTACCATATACTCATCTTTTACTTTAGTACTTGAAGAATAAAGAGGCAAGTAATCATTTTTGTCTTTCTTCAGGTCAGATTTGTCCAAAGCACTGTCTTTGTCCATCCCAGATGATTTTTTCTCAGTTTTCTGCCTTTTCTTTTTCGGCAGTGAGTTATCTTTTGGTGATGTAGAAAAGCCAGAATCTTCCTCGGATGTCAGAAGGCCACCTTTGATGGCACATCTGTTTAGTTTTTTGTCATGATTTTCATGGCACATACGTTTATGTTTCAATACACGATCTGTTCTGGAAAAATACTGTTGAATTCGGAGTTTGGTAGTGAATTTTTTGTTTTAGTTTGTGTGTTTGGCCAACCAAGAAAAGAAATGAAAAGAAAAATGTAATTAATATAAAGATAGATATAAGTATAATAATATAAGCAATTCTAAACTAATTTGCTGAGCCAATTATCTATTATAAATCTGATCAACAGTTAAGTTCTTCAAATAGTTCTAGTAGTAACATTTTTAACTTTTATTATAATTATTTTATAACAATTTAGGATAGAAGAATTTCAATGTCAATCATACTCCAATAAAGTGGTTAAAAAAAAAGAATTTCAAAACACCTCTTACCTGTAAACAGTATTCACACTGGTAAGGTTTTTCTCCACTGTGAGTTCTCTTATGCCTTTCCATATGATATTTTTGTATGAATCTCATACCACATTCATCACAGCGAAATGGTTTTTCACCTAGTACATGACATAGAAAATTTAAAACAAAACAAATATTGTGAAATCATGAATTACTTTACCACAAGAATCTCTAAATAAATGGCTTTTGAAAGTTGTCATACTTTGTTCTTCTTAAATGACAAAAAGTCTCCCTTATACTAAATATACCTTCCAATTTAATTTGTCAAGAATATTTTGCATTATAAAAATGAAAGAGATTGGTGTAATGACATCGGAAAGAAAAAGCTGAAAGCAGGCATATTCAATTTCTCTGCCTTTCTATTATGTGTGTACATAACATCCTCTTTCCATGGAGACCAGTAGTACCAGGAACTTATAGCAATATGAACATTGGTTCAGTACAGTAGCTGATGTTTCTAATCTTTTTTTCAATCATACAAAATAACATTTTAGAAAAACCTTTGAAAAAAGAAAATGTTACCCATACATAATCCAACACAATTCGAGTACACCGTTTTAATTCTTCATTTCTTTTCAGAAATATTTGTGGTTAAATGATATACAAATCCTACAAAAATATTCTTAAAAATTGAATTTATTAAAACATAAAAAGAGCTTAAATTAGAGACTAAGTTTCAAAAGTAAAGTTTGTTTATATTGATTCTCTTTTGCTCAACTCTAACCAGCATTTCTCATGTCCTTTTGGGAATGAATGAAACTGAGTGCTGTTAACTGGACACACAACTCGCCCCCATTTTTTAAAAAATTTCATAAGGACTTCTTAGCTATAAGGAACCACTACTATGGAGATCTAAAATAGTTTCTACTGATAAAACCACAGTCTAAGTAAAGAGAAGGGTGTGACAAGAAGTTATCCTGAATAATGCTTGTTTGGGAAACTACTGTTTCTAACCTTTCATACATTCAACAAGATTTTACTGAATACTTCTCCTCTACCCAAAACCCTGCTGTAGGAGGTTAAAAGTATGACAATACTACTTGTCTTCAAAGAGCTTATAAGATAATTGGGAAAACAAGATACACACATTTTATAGAGACAGCTAATAAAACTATGTCCAGCTCTGGTTTACCTCTATAACTTTATATCCCACTATTTCTCTTCTTAATCTTTTCCTGCAGCCAAATCAAAATATCTACCATCTCATGACTTTTTACCTCTGCCTTGATTCACACTGCTCCTTCAGTCAGCAATGCCCACCTCTGTGTGTTCAGGTACTATATTCCCTTCAAGACCCAACCCATCTCCTCCGGGATACTTTGCCCTATTCTCCCAGGGGAAAAGTATCTTTATCTTATTTAAATTTCCATAGAACTTCATCTGTATCTCTCCTATGGCACTCATTACTTTCATCTCAATAATTATTTTGTACATCTCTATTCTTCTACTAGATTACATTTCTTTAAGTCAGAATCTGGGCCTAAATTATCTTTATGTAGCTCAAAATACTTTGTGCAATTTTTAAGTGCCAAATGAATGGCATAAATGATTATTACTGTGGATTATTAGTGGAAAAAATGTTACTATGAGCTGGTATGATTTTGAAAAGCTTCTTGGAAGTGTCAGAATCTAAGCTAAGTAGCACTTAAAGAGACTGTGTGTATGTGATTAAAGCCAAGAAAAGAAAATTTAGTGGGGAACAAGAGAGCAACAAAAGGTTTAGATACTATAAAATGTCCAGGAGAAATGGTGCCTAGGAAGAGAATTTAATTTGGCAACAAGTAAATTATTCGAAACTTCCATGAATGCAACTTCTGCAACTGCTATAGAGTTACCAAATTTTAGGGCTGAAGGGACTTTGCAGTGGCTTTCAAACTGTGCTCTTAGGGGTTCCACAGAGGCCCCCAAAGGCTGATGCTGGTATGGCCAATGGCTCTAAGCTTGCCACCCAGAATTCAGGACAGAATAGCTCCACTTGCGTATACAGGGGCTCTGAATAGGGATTCTAAGGGTTCAGAGGCTAGAATGAGAGCTTAGCGCAACTAATCTAGACCAATTCACTTATTTTACAAAAAAGAAATACTGAAGTCCAGAAAAGTTATGGCACTTGGCCAAGGGGTTAATGGGTGAATAACTAATAAAGCAATGACATCTGGGAGAGAAGACCACTTATTAAGGAAGTCTGGAAGTGAAAGAAATGAGAAAAAGGAGATGAGAAGTAACAGTTAGGAGGCAATCCATTCTAGAGTAAATATTGTTGAGGATGAGGAGACTGATTTACTTGAAGGCAGAGAGGAAGGAGCCAGTGAAGAGAAACTGAATATGAATACTGAACTAAAATTGAAATGGAATATTTGGTGAATAATCAAAAGAATAAGACCCAGAGGAACTAGGATGAAAAGAGAAGGAGAGTACAGGTAATGTTTCAGAAAGAAGTAAGAATAGGTGCTTATTTTGAAATAGAGAATGTAGGTGATAGAGCTCATTAAGGTCAGAAGTAAAAGTCATTTCTCAAAAGTGAGAAAGGATAAAAGAGAAAATTAGTGAAGTGATTAGAACTCAGTTAATTCTGCATGATATTCATGGACTAGAAGACTTAATATTGTTAAGATGATAATATTTCCCAAGTTGATCTATAGATTCAAAGCAGAAATTGACAACCTGATCCTAAAATTCACAGGGAAATGCAAGGGATCCAGAAGAGGCAAAACAATCTTGAAAGAGAAAACCTAAGTAGGAAGACTCACACTTCCTAATTTCAAAACTTTCTACAAAGCTACAGTAATAAGTAAGACAGTGTGGTAATGGCATAAGGATAGGCATATATATCAAGGAATAGAATTCAGAGTCCAGAAATAAACCCTGACATTTATGGTCAACTGATTTTCAACATACGTGCCAAGACACTTCAATGGGGCAAAAAACAGTCTTTTCAATAATGATGCTGGGACAATTTGATATCCACATGCAAAAGAATGAAGTGGGAAACCTACCTCACCTCACATCATATACAAAAATTAACTCAAAATGGATCACAGGCCTAAATGTGGGAACTAAAACTATAAAACTCTTAGAAGAAAACATAGCAATAAATCTTGACCTTGGATTAGGCAATAATTTCTTAGATATGACACCAAAAGCACAAGCAACAAAACAAAAAATAAAATGTCCTTCATCAAAATTAAAAACTTCTGAGCTTTAAAGGACACTATCAAGAAAATGAAAAGACAAAATGGTGTAGCTGCTGTGGGAAATAGTTTGGCGGTTCCTCAAAATGTTAAACACAGAATCACCATATGACCCAACAATTCTACTCCTAGGTACATACCCAAATGAACTGCAAACAGTGACTCACTCAAACAGATATTTGTACACCAATGCTCACAGCAGCATTATTCACAATAATCAAAAGATAGAAGCAACCCAAGTGTCCATCAACAGGTGAATGGATAAACAAAATGTGATATACACATACAATGGAATATTACTCAGCCATAAAAGAATGAAATTCTGATACATGCTACAACACAGATGGACCTTGAAGAAATTATGCTAAGTGAAAGAAGCCACACACAAAAAGGACAAACACTGAATGATTCCACTTATTAGAGGTACTTAGAGTAGGCAAATTCAGAGACAGAAAGTAGAATAGAGGTTATCAGGGACTGAGGGAAGGAGGGAGGAAAGGGGAGTTATTGCTTAATGGGTACAGTTTTTTGCTTAGTTACACAATGTTGTAAATGTACTTCATGCCACTAAATTTTATGCTTAAAAATGGTTAAAAGATAAACTTCATGTTGGTTTAAAAAAAAAAGTGAAAAGATAACCCATGAAATGGGATAAAATATTTGCAAATCATATCGGATTAGGGATATGTATAAGAACTCTTACAACTCAATAGCAAAAAGACAATCTAATTTAAAAACAGGCAATGGATCTGAATGGACATTTTCCAAAGAAGATATACAAATAGCCAATAAGTACATGAAAAGATGTTCAACATCTTTACTCGTTAGGGAAACGCAAATCAAGATCACAATGAGATACTACTTCACACTCAATACGGTAGTTTAAAAAGATCATAACACGTGTTAGCATGGATGCAGAGAAACTGGAAGCTTCACACACGGCTGGTAGGATTGTTAAATGGCGCAGCTGCTTTGGAAAACAATTTTGCAGATCCTTAAAATGTTAAACACAGTTATGATATGGGCAATTCCAATCCACAGCATACAGCCAAGAGAACTGAAAATGGATATCCACACAAAAACTTGTACACGAATATTCATAACAGCATTATTCGTAACAGCCAAAAAGTAAAAACAACCCAAATGTCCATCAACTGATGAACAAATAAACAAAATGTGGGAGGGTCATACATGGAATATTATTCAGCTATAAAAAGGAATAAAATACATGCTACAACAGAAATGAACCTTTAAAACATTATGCTAAGTGAAAGGAGCTAGACACAAAAGACCGCCCACTCTATCATTCCATTCATGTGAAATATCCAGAATAGGCAAATCCATAGAGACAGAAAGTAGATGAAGACTGCCTGGTGCTGCGGGGAACGGTTATAGGATTTTAGGGTGATGAAATATTCTAAAAATTAGATTGTGATGACAGTAATACAACTCTGTGAATATCCTATAAATTATTAAATTGTACACTTTAAAGGGGTGGGTTTTTTGATATTGAAAATTATATCTCAATAAAGTAATTTTAAAAATTCTGCATGATAACGCAATGGGCACCATGCAAAGTGATGAGAAATGATTTTTTCCCTCAAGGAGCTAGCAGTTTAACTCAAAATAAATTAACTGGAGAAAATTCATGTTTAAGTTATCTGCTACATTCTAATAATCAAGAAGTAACAGTTTATTTAGTTAGAAGCAACATTAAGAAACTTCCTTTAACAAAAAAAGTACTAGAAACATTAATGCCTTAAAAGTTATTTGTACAGATGTTCCTTTGTTGCTAAAAACAACCCTTCACAGCCTCTCAAACTAAATAGAACAATTATGAGTGCTTCGTCAGCCAGAGATGAACGTAAATGCAAATTCACCTTCCAAAAACATTTATTTTTTGATTACCC